TAAAAAACGAAAGTAACAGATTATCACTCACTTATAAGAAATAATGCTCTATCTAGTTTCAGTCAGTTTCAATTTTTCTTCAAATACTAATCGATACATTAGTAAAATATAGTCACTCTTTCTTCACTAGCATCTTTCCCTCCATATTAAAAAATCATGAATATTTTTATTTTATAAAAAAAAAAAGACTAAAACTATCTTTTACGCATAGATTTGACTTTATTATTCTCTGAAATTAAAATTTTTTGTTTTGAAATAAACAGTTACAAAATAAATCGCTAAATATATATAGGTCCTTTGCTAAGATTTTTCAGTGTGCATCCTATTGTGCACGAACATCATCCTTGTACATTTAAATAAATTGTACACTTGATCATGCAGATGTGTACACATTTTTAAAAAAAAAAACTGCAATTGCTTTCTTTTAAATAGTGTATAGAACAGATTAGGGAAAAACACAGAATTATTATGTGAGCTGTTTCCCGTTCAAAAATTTCCGTATGATATCACTAAGTAAATTGTGATGTATAGTGGTTTTCCAATCGAATTCTAACTAACACTGGACTCTCTAATATGCTACCAGATAAAAAAGGGAAATAAATAAACCAAAGAGCATATAGTATGGGTAATTGAGAGAAACTATTTGGCGACAGCTAGAAATGAGATTTCAGGATAGATTAGTTGGAAGTCTGTGGTAGGCAATTTATTTCTCACACTGGATATCAGGCCTTAGCAATTTAGTGTGTGTTTATCTGGCAGGCTTACAGAAATCTCTGGACTGTTTTTTTTTATCTGAAAGATGTGACATTCTGTCAAAAATATATGTTTCACTAAATCTCAGCATTTTAAAACCTTCAGATTTTTGACTGCTCAAATATCGTGACACTGTTAAAGATATACGTTTCACTTATGAATCAAAAGACTAACGTCCTATAGATAAGTAGTCAGCTTGTAGTGCCTCCACATATATTCCAGTTTGCTTACATCTAACTTGGTTAAGCCCTTTCGATTAATTTATTTACCCAAGCCATTTGTATAGCAACAATTTATATGTACCATTCGTTCTTATTATTGTCTGGTTTGTATGAGCTCACATGACGTGCCCACTTGTCATTTGACCTTGTCAATCATTCGTCGCTTTTATTCATGTGTGTGCATGCCTATTTCGCTTGTCGTTTGTCTGCCTTATCTTTGTCTGAACATATATTCTTAGTCATGTTCTATTTCTTTGAGTTTGCTCTTAGCCTTCACCAACGCGCTACGCCTACTCATTCGCTTCCTTCGCCCATTCGTTGGGATTGTAACCCTGGGAGTTGGCACATTAGCCTTCTCCAACGCGCTTCGCTTACTCATTCGCTTCCTTCGCATCGTAATCCTAGGAGTTGGCTCATTAGCCTTCTCCAATTCACGTCGTTTCGTACACTTTGTTCGCTGCTTTTCAACTTCGCTTTGTGGTGTGTCCAAAAATAAACGTATTCATTACTTCGAATTCATTTTCTGATTTAAAACCGTCAGACGCTACCTTGTAACGATTATCTAGACGAGCTAATTACGAAGCATAAGAACACGCAGTAAAATGGCAACCACAAGCTTATACTCAATCAACAATTGCTTGCTACTGATATACATTGAAATATTTGACACAAGTCTTAAGGCTATGGCTTAATGTTTAATTAATCGTACTAGATGTTTTACTCTAACCATATAAATGCATCCATGATTACTTGGTTTAAACCTTCAGTATAACTTTCAATAATTTGATAACGTTGATAACGTCTCATTTTTGTTTCAAAAGAATACACTTCATTGGACACGCAGACTGTACACAAAATTGGAATAAGTTATCTATCAAGTAATTGCTTCTAGTTTTTGTACCGAATGATTAGCAAATGAAAATCTCACTTGTAAAATATCGATTCATTCAAAGGAAAGTTTGATTAACCATTATGACACTCCACTAACCAGAATTATTGAATTTTATTCAAACTCTAGAATTTTATTCGAAACAGATTAATTGGGTTCGAAGAATTACCATACATACACAAGATTTTACACTGAAAATATAATTTCATACTTTATTCTTTCTCGAACACAACATACACATTTGTTTGTATCTTTTAAAATTAACTCTATTTGCATATAAATATTGAAACATTTTAAATTAACTCTGATGAAATAAGACAATTTCTATTTCGGTATTTTTTTTTCTTTCCTTAAGAATATTCAAATCAGAAATGAATAATAGTAATAATAATAATAATAATAATAGTATAGAGAAAAATGCTTTAAACAAAATGAAATAAAATTTAAAATAAGCTAAGAAAATCTTTTCATTTAAAATAGATTAAATAAGTTAATGGATGCTTAAAGAATGAAATTCCATAATTTTATTTTTTTTTAAGATTGTTGTAAATTTCGATTAAGAATTTTTTGTTTGTTTTGGAATTCCATAATCTCAAAATTTTATTTTTAACTGTTACTGATCCAGCTTTTCTGTTTCATTTTCTAATCTTCACTTATTTAAAATCTAAATATAAATCTATGGAAAATTTTTGTTCAAATGAATAATGATATGAATAGAGCTTTGCATTTGTCGCATTGTTGATTTTTTTCTCCATCGAAAATTTCTTTTATTATGCTTATAAGTTGGAAAAGAATAAAATTATGATTCTACTAAATACATTTTACTGATTTTTAAACAAAATTCAGTGAAATAATTTAAAATGTTGGATACTTTTCTAGGTCATCTAGATAAATATATGTTTGTATTAGTATGAGGAAGTATTTGTTGTTTAACCTGTTGTTGATAATATAAGACTGAATTTAAATTAAGCTCCTAGGGGCATATGTGCTGCATACTGTGAAGATTAACTTGCTATAGAAATTATGACATAAGTTTTTTAGAACAGGTGTCGCTTATCTGGTAATAGAGTCCAGTTCCAGAGCTCCATCTTTCTTTCTATGCATCAGCCGGATAGTATATCTGACTTTGGACAAGCTGGATTCGAACGTTGATATAAACACCAATATTTGAATGTAGATCCACCTAAATAACAAGTCTTAAAAATAATAAAACTTGCTTTTCACGTTCCCCTCTTCAAGCCACAATTGATCTATCCCACCTAAACATATATTTATTTATTATTTATTGGTTATCAAAAAACCATGAACTTAGATTTCATCTTATTCGACATTCCTCAACAATGTATACGTTTGGTCTTTTGAAAACTGGTATATTTTGTTGAATCCTATGCCAATTTCACTGAAATTATTGAAGAGACAGAAACGATTACACTTTTAACTTTATTCTACCGAATTAAATTATTATATAATTATATATATCTTGGAAGTGCACCTTATGATTCTATATAATTCTTATGAAGTTTATTTTATTCAAATACTCAAACAATTAATCAACTAAGTTGAATGTTAATGAAAATGAAACTAGTCATATTGATATCTTGTATACCATTACACGGTCATCAATATTAGTAATGAGATAAAAGGAAAGACAATAAATGTATCAGAAAATCAAATAGATACACATTCTTATAAAATTCAAAATTCTTTCTGATTACAATAACTTATTTGATTGTATAAATCATTCATTTAACCAGAACTCACGATCGTTATTAGATGTTTTAAGAAAGATATTATGGACGTTTAACTGAATGTAACTTAAACAGCCATGATCATCAATACAAGTCTTAGTTTAATAGGTGAAACTAACATTAAAAAAAATCTCCATTACAGTCAATTATACATGTATACATAGGCAGACACTTGTAATAAATTCATTTAACACTTTTTGATAACTTTTCAACAGTTTTCAAATATATTATACCTAGTTCGAATGAAATTTCTGTATATTTTTTCTCATCTGACATGAAGTAATTAGTTTGAGAAAGAACTACTCACAGATACATAGACAGTTCAATGTTCAAACAGCTTTATCGCATGCTATGTAAATGTGTGTATTTCATTAAGTGATTTGTTAACTTTTTTTGAATAAACTGTGAATAGTCACATTATACCATAATAAAACAGTTTTGTTAAATGCACTTCTGTTATAAAAACATTTCATTCTTTTCACACAAACATTATGGCATATCTGTCCATGGTCTCATCATATTACAGTAAATGCATATAACCTATGCTAGATATGAAGTGTAATTGCTTTTGCAGAGTTAGTTTTCTTTGTAAAAACATTTAAAAAAATCCGAAAGGAGAAGTCAGCCTAATAGTCTTGGCATAAAATTTAACAGAGATGTATACCTATGACACTTAATTAAAGTAGAATGCAGTAATTTAAAATATTATTACAAATATATTAACATTAATCAACCTGGTCTGAACCCAATGGTATATAGAAAATTCTGAAATTCCGGTAAATTAACAATTCGAAATGGAATTTACTGAATGTCTCTGTTCTATACTTGTCCTCGGTTTGATATAATTCAGTCTGAAAATAAGCTGAAGACATTTTCTATTGAAATAAGTTAGTTTCTTCCCTAAATGAAAATCATACTATATTGCAACATGATAAAACTTGACAGTGTGAAATATTGAATTTTGACTCAGTGTCAGTAAAAATAGTATGCTCTGTATAAGTCTCCAAAGTTCTGACCGGTGTTTAATCTCATTGAAGCCCCAAACTTAAAATCAATTAGCTAATTGTGCGATCATATGTAAATCAGCCTTATTAGAAGCGTTATACCCAAATTGTTCAATACTGACTCTCTGAACTATTGAATTTGTTGAATTTTCAATTTCCCTCCATCGACAACTAATCAATTCCTACCACTGATAATATTAATAGTCAAATATTTATTCTCAAATGAAAATTTGTAATGCCCTTATATTTTTTTAGTAGTATCTAACAGTCAGATTAATAATCAAAGCTATTCTGATGACAACTTTGACATAAATAACTCTTTGTTTTACTAAATCACATTGAATCATTTAACAATCTGACAACAATGAGCAAGAAAATGACTTACCATAAATTGCCATACATAATTTGTATAAATTTTAACTTTTTAAAATCTGTAAAAATGTTTCATTCTTTAATAAATAAATAATTAGATCTATTGAATATGTTCAACATTTAAAGTTTCATTTGGTTGTTATCATTATTTGAGAATGTGTTTTTCTTTTTCCTATCCAAACAAAACACTGAATCATAAAAGCACAATGTTAATTGGGAAAAATTCCTATACTGAGCAAATCTACGATGACGAGTAAAACATGGAAAAAAGTAAATTTTTTTAGTATGATTATTATTATTTTTCGTTGAGGAAGCAGAAAAACATCGTTTGGCCAATCAACCGTCAATGTGTCCATACACCTAAATTTCTGATAGGTTAGATTTTAAACGAACAAAATAATTTAAGATTACTAGTGGTATTTGGAAGTTTGGGATGTTTATTATGACTAAATTTTGTTTGATGAACGACGAGTTATTTAAATGAGCAACTTGAAATGTTCTTTTGGTTAGGGGTAGTTGCAGATCGGCAGCAATAGTTGTTGCCAGTACATTTATATAAGAGTGATATTTGGTTATTTTATTTCTTATGGTTAGAATAGATTGTCAAAGTATATTTTCCCTCATTGTTGAGTCCCTAATGATTTTCAATAAAAAGCTATAAAACTGGATTTGTGTTGGAGTGTACTCGTCTTTTACTTTGAAAGAAATAATGCTTCCAAATTTACAGTGGGAAATGTTTGTACTGGGCTATTTGATCATAGATCGATATCATGTTCGTCTGTAATACAAAAAATAATTATTCAGTGAATCAAAAGTATGTTTGTCTAGTTAGATTTACATCAGTTCCAAGTTCATCTGTTAAAAAAAGCGAGCATAAATGCTACTGAGACTAAAACTATTATTATATACATCCAATGTTATCAAGGAACTAAACTAATGTAAGTGTGACTTAATGATCAATGATCACAATACTATATAAAAGAACCGGTTTGTATCTAATATTCTGAAAAATAGTCTAATCATTATTGTTTTTGATACTGTAGCCAGCAGAGAACTTATACATGTCACATACATGACTGAAGTTCGAAGTACAAATCGAAAAATTAACGCTTCGAATGGTTACCAATAAATAATCTCATTTCACTGCAAATTCACAGTTATTAGAAGGTGTATCTCAGTTCTATCAAATTTCTTTCACGTCTTCGTGACCTAGTTATAGCACATAGATATAATCTTAAGTATGCGCTTCCTAAAACTCTTAAATTATGATAGAAAATCTCTGCAATGCTTCTTGAATTTCGTTAGTTTTTCAAATGATAATGGTTATTGATAGTAAATTGTTTACGAAACCTAATATTACACAGCTTAAAAACATGAAGCATTTCAGTTACAATATAAACAGAATTATGCCAGAGCATATTGAATAATAGAATATAATGATAATAGTAATCACATTATTAAACATTAGATGTTATACATGTATATTTAACCCCATGGGAACGTGAACGTTCTGACTAACCTTAAGAGATAATTGATCCTTGGTTTCATGTGAGATTTTGAGGGTTTCTGTCGATTGTCTTATGTGTAAGGGAGCCGGAGGTTACTTGGTTGAAGTAGTTACTGGTCAGAGCACGGCTTGAGCCGCTTGCTAACCTGTGGGGGTGCTAGACCAAGCTGGGCTTACCCACCATGTTGCGCTCGCCGATTATGGATTTTGGGTTGTGGATTGGCTGGATGGAACGGATTGATTCATAAGTGCCCGTACAGGTGTGCCTGTTCATGCTGCGACTTGTATGATGTCCAACAGACTTGCGAGAGAAACTAGACAACATTTACGTACCTTTGGGCGGGGGGGGATTATGAGTATTGGTATCCGTATGAACTTTGTGTTGTGTTGAAGCAGCATTTGTGCATGTGCTGAGAGTCCGCTGGCTGACCCAGATATATGTGTATTACTTACTTACTTACTTACGCCTGCTATCCCCAACGGAGCATAGATCACTGACCAGTATTCTCAAACCTACTCTGTTCTAGGCTTCCATTTCCGGTTCTGCCCAATTTTTGCTCATTCCTCTTATATCCGTCTCCATTTCTCGACGTAATGTATTCTTTGGCCTTACTCTTCTTCTGTGACCATAAAGGTTCCAAGTGAGGGCTTGTTTTATGATGCAGTTGGTTGTTTTCCTCAATGTGTGACCTATCCACTTCCTCTGCTTCTTCTTGATTTCTTCCTCCATTGGTTGTTACTGATGGTGTCTGGTCAGCGAGTCCGGAGTATTTTGAGTAGAAAACTGTTAAAGAATACTTGAAATTTCTGGATGATGGCTTTCGTTGTTCTCCAAGTTTCCTCCCCATACAGTAAAAACCTATTGACGTTTATATTGAAGATTCTGACTTCAGTGTTGGTTAATAGTTGTTTGGAGCTCCAGATGTTATCCAGTTGTAGAAATGTAGCCCTTGCTTTGTCGATTCGCGCCCTCACATCGGCATCGAATCCACGTCGATCGTCAATGACGCTGCCCAGATATGTAAAGGTTTAAACGCCCTCCAAGGAATCTCCATCAAGAGTGATTTGGTTGGTGCATGTTTTGTTTCATCAGAGAATTTCGCTTTTTCCTTTACGTATGTTGAAACCTGTTGCAGCTGCTACACTGATCGTCTTGTCTTGTATTTATTGCTGCGTGTGCGATAGAAGATCATCTGCGAAGTCCAGATGGTCCAGCTGCATCCCGGCTGTCCACTGTACACCGTGCTTCCCTTCAGACATTGATTTCTTCATGATCCAGTCGATCACCAATAGAAAGAGAAAGAGTGAGAGTCAGCAACATTGCGTCTGAAAAATCTTTACTTTTAACGAGTCTATTATCTGTCCTCCATGTACGATTTCGCAGTTTAATCCATCATAAGAATTGCACATGACGTCGACTATCTCCTCAGGTATATCGTAGTGTTGAAGAAGCATCCATAGTGTTCTCCTGTCTCCTGTTGGTGGGCCAACGTTGATTGGGAGTTCCCCGGATAATGCTTCGGTGTTGTGTGGGCTCATTGAAGCTGGTTGATTCAAGAGTTACTACAGTGCTCTACCCACCTGTTTCGCTGTTCTCCAATGTTTGTGGAGGCTTTGACTTCTTTTTCCGCAACTGGCTGTTCTGGTTTACGATATTCCCCAACAACGGTCTTCGTGGTATCATATAGTTGTCTGAGGTTGACTTCTCTTGTAGCATTTTTCTACTGTCGTTGATAGATCTTCCAGATATTTTCGTTTGTCGGCCCTGATGCTCCTCTTCACTTGCTTGTTTGCTTCTGTGTTTTCAGCTTGTGCCTTGGTTTTCTCTACTCATTTTAGGCTGATATTGATTTTTGACTTGTGTTTCTCCCTTCTTGAATTTTATCCACAGTGTCTGCAGTGATCCATTGCTTGTGTTGATGCTTCTTATGGTCCAGAGCCTCATGACATTTAGAAGTTATTGCTTTGTTTCCAGTTGTTTTGCTTAGTAGTTTCCTCTCCACGGAGGAACTCAAAAACTTGTTGCTAAGGGCTACCTTAAATTTATTGAGTTTGCTAGTATCCCAGAGGAAGGCCGTATTAAACTTTTGAGATGCTGTTCATACCATTTTTCAGTGCTTCTTAAGTTTCAATTTAATTTTGGCTACCATCAAGTGATGATTTGAAACTATTTTGGCTCCTCCCTTGGTTTTTACGTACTCCATCGTCCTTCTGAACTTTTTATTGATGCAGAAATGGTTGATTTAATTCTGTGTAGTATGATCCAGTGAAATCCATGTGACTCTGTGTATTAGTTTGCTTGGGTTTATGGTGCTTTGCATGTCATCCCAAGATATCTTCAGATCCGGTGTTGTTCGTTCCAATCTAAACATAGAGGTCTCCTGTCAGAATGGTCTAGTCCTTTGTCAGGCATTTCTCGACGACTGATTTCAGCCTTCATTGTTACCGTTGATAGGCACGTAGAACTGGATGAAGTTCATTATAATTTCCTATTTCTTTGCTTGGAAGAGATGAGCAAAAGCTTTGTCTTCTGTAGGGAGCCGAATAACTGGATATCGGAGATTAGGTTTATTGATGGGCAGGCGTACTGTTTTAAGTTCTGCACTCTCCATTAATATAAATAAGTTTCCTAACAGGCCATGATCGAAGATATTTATAGGTGTCTTCACTTAGCTAAAGGGGTTTTGATGGCCAAAGTAACAGAAAGAATATACTGAAAATCCCTTCAGTGTTCCATTGGACAGTATATTTATTTCTTTGCTCTTTGAACTATGCTTTGTATCTGAACTTTTGATCAGGTATCTTGCAATAATGTCTTGTGTTACTCACTCACCTTTATCTAAGTTGTTATTATTTGAATTTGGTTATTGATTAGATTTATTATTGATTTTGTATGGTGCCCGGCAATTGAAAATTCGGTAATGTCTGACTTAACTCAAGGTTACGACATGGTCCTTTTGATGATTGTTCACCTTTAACTTCCTATCGGAAATGGTTGTTCGAATCCTTGTATGTGGATATATGGTCCAATTATTTTTTTGTGAATACTCGTATTCTTTTACCAAATACCTATTTAGCAACCATTTCTTTGTCTGTTCAGTATCGAAATTTTCTGCTAGATAAACCTTTGACTGTGTAGCACTGGCTGTAACATTTGAGGTATGTTATAATTTCGATATAATATTTTTTTCCTAAATTAGAACCACTTAAATTGAGCACACTCTGTGTTTTGATATAATTTATTACGAGTCATTGAACAACGCTCTGTACGCTATACGACAAAACGTTGTTTGATCTATATGAATAATTTCTGATTCTTTAGCTTTACGTTCAGACCAAATATTGATCGTTACAGTTCCCCGTCACTGGATTCATAACAAGATTTACGGAAAGAATGTCGAAAAGATATCTTTATATTATACAACTAATCAGTTGATATGGGGAAAAGCCCTCTATAGATTCCTTTGAATTTAAATTCCATCTGTTTGTATATTTTCTTTGTAAAAGTATGATTTTGAACATACTTGAATTCAAAGGCGTATAAATGTGCATTTTTCCCGCTTAAGACTCCCAGTATTTGTATATATACTGATGGTTACCGACTACATTCTTGTGATAAC